TTAAGGGATTACCTTAATTCTAAGTCCATCGTTTTAAGACAGATAGACAGATTTCAATAGCAATTAGGTTATTGCTGTGGCATGTCGACTGAAGATATGAATCTCAAGACATCTTCCTTCTCTTACATTGTTTTATGACAAAGAACTTTGCTAATTTATTTAAAGCAAAGCACAGAGCCATTCTGTAAGAAGTCAGAAGCCATGGCGGGGATTGTGCTTCCTACATCTAAGGAAGAGGATGGGATAGGGAAGGTTCACTCTGTGATTTAGGATTAGAGTCAGGGGTCAGGTCACATCTTGTTCCTTGGCATGCTAGTTCTGTCCACAGTGTGCCAGAGCCATTTCCTCCTCTGGGTTTGTTAAAACTACAGAATGTCAGACTCCACTACTGAAAATTCAATTTTGGATACTAACAGTATTTACAGATGGAAGTATTTTTTGTCCTTTTCAAAGTTGGGGATCCAACTTAGGGTCTCACATATGCTAGCAAGCCCTCTGTCACTGAGATACATCCCAATCTCAGCTCTTCCTATTTGAGGAATTACAGTTAACCATTTACCTGATATGAAACTAGACATAAATCTGCCTGCCTTTACAGAAATACGCCATGTCAACTATACCTGCACACACTATAACACACACAAGGGTGTTTAAAGGAATAGAGAAACCATCTATAGAAATATTATACTTATCTAAAATAAAGTGTTCTTATAAATAACACTCATGTTACATAACTGTAATTACTATTAATTCAAATAATGTTTTATAAAAAGTTCTCAGCATCACTAAATGATACTTTGATTTATGTAAAGTATACATGACAAATATGTGTTATAAAGGAATAGATTTTAGTACATGAAATGGTCCTTCAAGGGAAAATATTCAGAGAAATGAGCTTCTTTTATTAAAACAAAATTGAGCAGTCTGGTGAGAATTAAGGACTATGCATTTAATCATTTAGCTGTGGAGAAAAGTGGATCCCATAGGGAACACAGAGGGATATAGAAGACAAAACAGTTGTATTCTATCAGTAAAATGAAGTCATTGAGGAATGCTCACTTTACCATGTGCTAACAGTATGGGGTCTACATACAAATGTGGGCACGCACAATAGCTGAGCCGAATGGGGTTAAAGCTCAGCAAAAATACGAAAGTTATATTGTGCCAATTAAGAGAAATAGCCTTTTGATCTTATCTTATTAATTAAAAAATAACAAATACTAGAAAGCAGAATACATGGAACCTAAACACAGTTTTTAATAATCACAAACCTGTCTCAATCCTACAGAAAACAGTGGTTAAGATGAGGATTGGGGTTTCATTCTCCTGCCATGAGGAAAGAGGAATTTCTTTTAAAATTTTTTTAAAAAGACTGAACATTTTTGAAGAGCAGTTGGAAGTTCAGAGTTGAGTTTCATACTTAATTATTATAGCTTTCCAGTATAAGAATTTCTGTATACGTTTTAAGATTTCTCATATTCCTACCTATTTATCATTATTTTTCTATCTCAGGAATAATGTAAACACGAGAGTAAATATGCATATAAATAAGAAGGAAACAATTCTGTCTAAAACTATTCTACCTAATTGAACAGTAATAAGGCTTATAAATTCACACTGTATATAAAAATATCTAAAGTATGCTCATCCAATGCTTGGTATTAAAAACATCATTTGAAAACCTTTCATGTTTGTTTTCAAACTTGGGAAATACTTTTTGAATGGAAGAGTACTAGATTTTACAGCATGGAGAAGATGACTTCCAGTTCTAAAATTGCATATCTTTTGTAGTATAGATTTTAACATAAAGCCTTTCATGAGTTTATATTGGCTACAGAGTTTTCATAGTATTATATCAATATGTTCACTTGAGTTTTTCAAACTACAACAAACACCCAGTACATGTTCAAACACTTATTCCCACATATATACATGTACACCATAGCATCTAAATTTAACCATTGTACCAATTACAACTGTGTTTAGAATTCATATTTGCCTTATGATGAATGGGAGGTGTCCTTTGAGAATTTCTACTTTATGAACTTCCCCCCGCCCCGTGCTCATAAATATGATTAGATAGGATTAATTTCTATAATTTATCTTTCACTTACTTTTTATTTAAGGCCCCATGGGATCTTAGCCTTGTCTCCTCAACTCTCCTGTTCCTCATCACATTTGTGATTATGATCTTTCCGTGATGGATCAACACCTACGAAGCAGTAAGTGTAGACTACAGAAAGTCTGTGGGATTATGCATAAGATAGTTCTGGGAATTAAGAGTAAACATAGATAATTCTAGGAACTCCTAATATCAATGTATATATTGATTTCAATTAAGAAGAATTCTATTCAGTTGATGTTTCTCCCATGGTAGAAGAAGACAAAAGCTAGAGCCTGCACATCATATTGTGGATTATATCAAATTCAAGAGCATGGGTTAGGTAAGTTTTAATTCCCAATGACCAGTCCAATGTACGAACCAACATAGACGGATTATTTAACCACATTTGTGTGGCATATGAACAAGAAGTGCTTGGTGTTTAGGGTGTGTGCTTTGAAAAGGTAAATTAGAACTGTCCTATGAATGTCACCTTGTGTTGTTCAGTGTCCCAGATACCTTTCAAAACCTGTCATCAAGAACACACTGCTCTAACTTAAGGACTGAATCCATCCAGGATTGTGGGTTATTTATTGGCTTTCCAGACATCTAACCTTTTCCAGACATCCACCTTTTAGAGGTGGACATCTAACCTCTTCCCAGTCAATTACTGTGTAAAAATCAGTCAGGAAAAGAATGGTTTATCTGTCAAATGGTGAAGAGAAGTTTCATAATTTGTAGTTTTTTTTTTTATAACTTTGCTTACCTCTAAGTAATCTAACTCAATGTGTAAATGACGCCAATGCTTGTGGTAAAATTCCTAAAATTAAGCGATACGTTATAATCATACACTGCTTTAAAAGATTCATCATGTCAACTTCCTAAGACAAAAAGGTAAATGAGTCAAGGGTGGGCTACCAACACCTTTAAAAGATGTCTGTCTATTTTCAAAATCTTGTCATTAAGGCATCACTTAGCTCTGATTTGACATTTGAATATTGGAAGACATAACTTTTCTCTCTCTGTTTATTGAAACAGTCTCACTAAATCCATGTTAGCCTCAGGCTTTCAACTCTTCTACCTTATCCTCTGACTGAAGTAAATGTAGGCATGTGCCAGCACACCTGGCCATTATATTACTGTTTTGATAGGAGTAGTGTATAAGGATAAACACAAATGTTTATCTATCCAAATAAATAAAAAGACAACAACATAACTTTCTGATACAATAACTAAACATTTAAAGAAAAGTTACTGCCCAGTATCTGTCAATCTTCTATGTCTAGTGTTTACTATTAGCTACAGTAGTTTTGAACTTCAGGAAGTTTGAACCTCCTTGCATCATTGTGGTCATGACTAACCTATAGAGAGAGAAGCAGAGAAGAAATCAGGCTGCAGTGTGGTGGTAAAACCACCAGTTTCCAAGAAAGACAAGAAGCCAAACCCATGCTATCTTAGGACTGGTGTTTCTGTCAGAGATGTTTCTGTTTCAGCTGGTCTCATGCTACAGAAAATTCTATCAGTGAAAATGAAGTGTCAGAAGACATAAATTGGTACTTCTAGCTACTGTAAGTCAGCTTCAGCTGATCATAAAATTAGGTTAAACATCTCATAAACCGTTGATTAAATCATTTGGTAAAATGTTTACCAGCTGTATGTTCTTAAGGATATACTCTGTACATTGATATGTCAAACTTCATAAAAACCATGTACCCCAAATCTATTTTAATATATGAAACCTATGTATGTGGTTTGCATTACCACCCTACATTTATTTTACTCCTTTCCCCCTTATAATATCCACTAATGACATTAGAATAATATTTCAGGACCATGTTTAAGAAGGCTGTAATCATACACTTCAATTAGGAATGCATAGCAGGCATCTAGTAATCAAATAGTGTTTATAAAATAGTATTCACTTTATAGAGAAGTCATTAGAAGTTGAAAAATAATGTGCATTCAAATGCAGATGATTCTGCCCTGTCTCTTGTAGGAGATACTTATCTATCGAGCACATGCTATATTGAAGACATTATCACACACTGAGGCAACAGGAAGGTTTGATGTCTTAATTTTATGGATAAATATTACATAGTACAAGATTCATTTTTTAAAAAAATATTGTGATGGAGGTATCATAATAATTACTCTAAAGTTGAATTTAAAGAAATATTTCCAGCCAGCATAACTTGTGATATGAGGGGGGTATTTGTTGATCATTACATACAATATTGGTACTAATTATCCATTTGGTACCTCAGATAAGAGAAAATTTTTATGGAAAAAATCTAATATTATCCCTAACTATTCAATATTAAATATTCTCATGTATATATTAATATATTAAAGTGACTAATTTATAAACTGACAGTTTGACTCTGAGAATGTTTCCAAGTGTTTCTGGATAGCCATATTTCTTAAGTTTATGTTTACATATGTTTTCATAAAATGAAATAAAGTTTTGAAAATAAAAGGGCAAAAGTAGGCTGAAGGTTAACTTGATGGATAGAAGAGAATCCAATTATTAACTTCATACCAGACACTATGGAATAGCCTCATTTCCTTTAACCACAGCTCACAGATTTTAATTCAATGTGCAAGCCTTAGTGTATTTGGGCTTGCTCAGTTTTCCTTTGGATAATTGACAGGTAAGTTTTCCAATTACAAAATACTTGGCCGTTGACCTTTGGCAGGAAGTATAATCAGTTGGCACTTCAGAGTTTCTCTGATGTTGAATTATTTTAACATTTTTTTCCCCTGTTATATAAAGAAACTGCAGTGTGGTTGCATCAAGGTAGTATGTTTTTTCGCTGCTTATACTAATATGTGGATGATTACTATACTAAAAGAGCAATACTTCAAAGGTTCACTTCATGCCCCAGATGTTTCTCTTAACATAAAAGCAAATAAATAAGCAAAGTAAAATAAAACACGATGAACTTCAACATATTCAAAGAAAGCTTCAAGCATGCATATATTTATGAACTCATGTCCATCTAGCTCAAAACAAGAAGCACAATAGGGAAGCACACCAGAAAACAGTTTTCTGACTTCTCAATGAAAAGAACAGAATGGTCACAACCATGTTCGCAAACAGTTGGTTTTGTGAAGCTTCAAAACATGTTCCTTTGGAGGAGGCATTTTGAAAATGAATTTTAAAATTCTAGTCCACGTGGTGCTCCTTTACAGGAAAATACATAGCTTGCAAAAGCAAGGCGTATGTATTTCTTAGCCATTTACCACCTCGGATGTTGAGAACCTGTTTTCAATGAAGGACACCATTTCCTCTGGCATACTCAATATAAAATGCTCTTCTACAAAATTAATCTGAAGATGTCTTGTGCATTGTCGTTTGGACCACCGTTTCCTTCTCCATTCCCCCACTTTTACGCTACGTGTACAAACATTGCTCAGAGGGTAGATGGCATGAAATATCTGTAAACAAGTAAGTGGAAAATAACTGTCTGGTCTCTTTCAACATTGAACTGTGATAGGTGGCTGTAAGATTGTTTTCTGTGTTAGTATGCATGTGTCTGTGTTTTATGTGGTTACTCAGGATCTTGCTAATGATACAGAATGCACCACATTTCATATTTGTTAGATGTTTGTCCATAGCTGCTGGGCTATCATCAGGTCCAAACAGTAGCTAGTTGACTATTCCACAGAAAGGAAAACTTTACATCTGCACTCAGAAGACGACTGAGGCAAGCTGGGAGTGAAATACAAAGAGAACAGAACAATTGGCCGAGGCTGTGGGTTTGCTCCGCATTTAAATTCTCTGCAAGCGCATTTGTAAAGACAGGAGAATCCTTGCACCTTCTTAAAACACTAACACTGTACTGAGGAAGTTTCTCCCCTAGCCTCCTAGGTTTTCTAATGGGATATAGCCACAGAAATGAACATAAAACAGGGAAATATTGGTTACAGCAACAGAGAAAATGAAGTCAGAGAGACGTTCAGAAAAATACATCACCAGGTTACAGTTTGGCAAAAAGGAAATCGTTTTACAATCATATACATCCTAAAGCTACACTAACAATAGGCTTCCTGGTCCTGCCCCCAGGAGAAGAACGTCTTGACCCTTGACCTTTGTTCACATAAAAACTAAAGAAATTAAGAGCATGTTTGTCATCGCTGTTTGTTTTATACAAATTTACTCTTTTAATCTAAACTGGTATAAGAAAAAAAAATTCTATTCCAAAACAGCCCAAGTCTTGTTCTTAAGTCATGTGACTTGTTTTTTTTTTTTCCCCTGCCAGCCATGTGCTCCGTATCATTTTACTCTGAAATAACTCTGCGATTTCAGCTGAACCTGCCTACGCTTATAATGCACCGCATACCCCACGAGGGAGCCTGAGAACAGACTCCCTTGAAAAGCAAGGTTCTCATAGTTGGCCTGTAACCATGGAAGCAGATGCTGTTTTCTTCTTACCCTGCTTACCTCTTTGCAGCCTCGAGCTGCTCCCTATTGTTAAAAGGGGGTACGCCTCGATTCTTCTTCATCATGACCGAACTTGCCTCTTCTTCAAAGGGCATGGTGCTGCAGGTCATTGGTCTAGACTGTTTGCACGGTCCAGAGAGCAGCCTTGATGTAACCCTGGCTCCGTCTGAGCCACACCACCAGCCGTGCCTCTGCAGACTGGAGGGGGACATTGGAGATCCGTATTTGAAAAGAAGTCTGTCTGATTTTGCCATTGTGCCTTTTTACTCATCGATCGAATGAATATCGAACCTTCTGTCGTTGCATGTGTGAAAATAGATAGCTTAGCCAGCACTTTTGTGTCCAACCTGTGCTGTGGGCCAAAAGGTTTTTCATTTGAGTCTCAAGAATTTTTTTTTCCTTTCTTCAGACTTGATGAATTTTGTGCTCGCTTAAATTATTTGTAAGCCTTTATCCAGCTGTTTTGGCGACTGCTTGCGATACTTTACCAGCAGGGATTTTGTTTTGGTGTCAAAACGGAACTTTTTTTTTTCCGTCATCTGTTTGTTTTCTTTTGTAGCTGTCTTAAGGTCTTTTTGTAGCTTTGTAGGTAGAGGCGGTCTAACTTTTACTACACCCTATAAAGCCGCACATCTGAGTTACCCTTTTAAGGGGGCGATTTGACGCTGTCTATTACTTAACAGGCTCAAATCCAGAAAGGTGGACTTGAGCCTCTCAAGGTGATTTCAGTGATTTATAAGAGTAAGTAAACCGGATAATCACATTGATTTTTAAGTTGAACAGTATTGTTTGATAAACTGTATTTGAAAGGAATTTGTTTTCTTTGTTTTTTCCCCCTTTGAAAATCAGTGAAAGTATTATTTGGAAGCACTGAAATGTACTTAAAAGCATATAACTTCATTGTGCTTAGGAGAGGCACATAAAATCACTATGATTTAGCATACCGAATAAATATATTTATAATGTCTGTCTCATGGCATGATTTAACTAGAAAGCACAAAATATGAAAAAAGTCTTTGCATTTCATTTTTTAACATGACGGAAATTTATTACTGTTCATCAACTGCTGATGTTAATGGCTGATGAGACTATGCAACCTGCTCATTCTCAAAGGCGCTGTTTCACTGTGTCTTTATGAAACTCCACAAGTTCAGGATGTCTCTGATGCATCTCTCCAGCATGGTGATTAGGAAGCATTGTCTGCATGTGTCATCAGGAGCAGTTTGGTTTGATTTGAAGAAACCAGTAGTTCATACTTAAAGGCATACCTATTTTCTCTAATTGCCACAGGCAAACGGGAGGTCCACGGCAGGATAAAGAAGGTTATTGTGACGGCTGAAATATAATTCTCAATGAGTAGTCTTTTCATCTAGCCTTAAGGAGCACAGGATTACTTACAAGCTGAATTTTGTGGCAGAATGTAGGAGCTGATTTAAAAAACAACAACTATAAAACAAAAACAAAAACAAAACTCAAGAAACCAGGAAAAAAAGAAGGAGGTTTATCTCTCTTTGGCTCTGGAGTGTTTATTTTGTGTGTCTGTCTGGGGATCGTATTTTGTTTCTCCTAACATAGAAGAGACACTGGCCAGGAGAGGGTCTGAGGAAACAGAAGGAATAGGCAGGGAGGGTAGAAAGGAAGAAACAGTAACAGTGAAGAAAATGAGTTAGATGGATTTCTATATTCTTTGGCACGCACATGCAACTCATATTTTTTCAACACACGTTTTTGCTGCAAAAGTAGGTACCTTTTATTTCATACACTTCCTATGCCTTAAATAATATTTTCTCTCTTTCAGATTCTTGGGGACAAATTGTTTGCTTTTTGTTTGTTTGTTTTGCTTTTATTTTAGATTCTGGTTAGCATTCTGTAAGGGTTTAATACCAGACTTCAGTCCCATGGGCATGTGTTTGTGCAGATATTTTCCTTTTTGTTGCTTCTTTGTTTCATTTCTAAGGAAAAGATTTCTATTTGATTTTTGAAATTTGTATATCTAAATGCAAAGATTCTTCCTTTCTATTTGTACCATGGTCAGTTTTTAGATTAACTGAGGGGCCAAAGCTCTACCTGGTAAATATTCAGGCACCATAAGAAAATCTCAGACTATAAAACCCACTGTAATTAATGATTGAGTAGTTGGTCTTTTTCTTATATTAACCAGCTGGGTATACCTATTCCTGGGAATTGTATATTGTGTATTTTACAATACTTTTTCTAAGTTGAACTGAAGTAACTACCTTGTGTTAAAGGAAAGCTAGGAAGTCCTGTCTGCTAGTCCATCCACTGCCTCAGAACTTACAGCAGGCTGCCATCCTTTCTACTGAGTTCTTATCTACCGTTTCTTGTTATACAGTTACCTATAAAATGTGTGTGTGTGTGCATAAGTGTGAGTGTGTGCATACAACTTCTTAATTGAGTCTTTTGCAATTTACTAGATACATTTCTTATTTTAAACACTGCAGTAAATAATTCAAATGCAGTGAATTAACTTACATGTTCTCTGGAAGAAGGCACAAAATCCATAGTCCTCAGATACGTCTGCCATATATTTTTTCCTTACAGTACAATAGTGTGTTATTTTGATATATAAAACATGCAGCTCACATTAACTAAAATGGTTTTATTCCTTTATGCTAGCTTTTTAGCTAAAAATTTAGTATAAATTATTACATAAAAAACAATAAACAATTAGCCTCTTTGTTCTTAATATTTGGTAATTTACATGTATTTATTATTGCTTCTAATAACAGATTTTCCAGTTCTCTTTACGATGTGTCACTTATAATTCAAACACACGATCACTGTATTACTGCAGAAAACCTGAGAAATCATATAATTATCATCAATTTGTTGACTAAAATAACAACTTTCCCCTGGCATCCTTACACAGATAATGAATTAATATGTATGTTGAGGGAATGTTTTTAATGTGTCATTTTAAGTGTTCTTATTAATATAAATAAAAGATAACAGGGTAAAAATATCCAAGGAAAGCATACATATAGATTTACTACCCTTATTATCTATGATATCAAATTGCCTTCAGAGATTTTTGTTCCTTCCTGTCCTTCCGAGAAATATGGGAATAACCACTATACAAACCTTTTAATTTGGTAAAATATTGTTTCCTCTATTCCTCCCTGATGAGTGTGTTTTATATCATTTCTTAGATATAATCTTGTAATTTGCCATTAGAAAATATAAATGAATGAGGTAAATTTTTTAAGAGAACAAATAAGAAAGACAGAAAATACTTTAAGGAAGATGAAGTAAGAGCAATTACTTCAGTTCAGTTATGTGGCTCATAGTATACATTTTTAAAAGAATGCTTCATTTTGCTCCTGGCTGGAGAGAGTATCAAACACAGCATGTTCAATGACCACAATAAAAGTAACATCCTCTTCCCTAGTGAGTATTTTGAGATGAGGAGACAAACAAAACAGTATGGACCTGCAGATATTCTTGTTTTATGGCAACTTTTAAAAATAGCATTATCCATCCTGAAATTTATTTCACCTTAGTATTTTCTTTCATTATCCTGACCATTCAGCATAATGCTAAAATTAATAAGCATAGAGCTCACTGTATTTTTTCCCACATGTGATGTTTGCAGAGTTAGCATCTATTTTATCCAAATATGTTTTTGCAGTGTTGAGAAGCAGAACACTTCTCATACTGCTGTCTTCTGCCTCTCTCTCCTCCAAACACATTTTTGCTATAAACTTCTGCACCAATCGCTACGGAAAGACTCACTCTCAGCCACAGCTCAGGAAGCGCCTTGTGGGTGTAAGAAAAATCACAGACTTTGATTTTGCAAGACAAGTTGGATAGGAGTCAAAATTGCCACATGCGGTGTGAAAAAATGCCACCCTGGTGTGAACAAAAGGTTTAAAATGGAGTCAAGAAGCATGCAGGCTCGATGTCTAAGCTTTGCCTAGGAATTGTCTGCCACAACCTGCAGGGTAATCGAGTGGGTTGGGAAGAATAGCACTTGGAGCTGCAACTCGGAAACACCAGGAGTCAAATGTGTTAGTTGGTTTTTTGTTTTGTTTCTTCTTTTTGTCATTTCTAACTTTTATGTGTTTCATCTTGTTTTTATTTTGTTTTGTTTTGTCTCATTTAGGCATCATTATACTAAAGTGTTTTACCCAAACATAAAACAAATCCAAAAGAGTCACATAATGTGTGAAAGAACTGCTCCTTCCAGATGAATTGTTGGGTGGTTTTTTTGTTGTGTTTTCTGAGTTTTTTTCTTCTTTCATTTCTTCATTCATAACAAAATGAAGTTATCAAATTCAAAACTCTTTGTTGTTTCCTTATTATAAAAGGATAAATTGGAGCCAGGCTTTCACAGTCCTGACTACTAGAACTAAAAATTAAATGTATAATTGTAATACTTATGTGTGTTTATCTTCTAAATTATCAAGAGAAGATGAAAGAAACACACTGTGCTTGTTGTTGCAAACATTCCATTTCTTAATAAAGAATACAATAATTCAAATTCAGTAAAAACATTGCTTCACAAAAATGGTAACTACGATGTGCTAGTAAAATGTAGTAATGTTGTGTCTTTCCTAGTATTTCACAGCATACTTCACCAGCAAAAATATTTTTTGTTAATCCTAAATAAAGTCAATAAATCCTAAGTTAAAACAACTTCATTGGCTTGAACCACTAAAATATCATTCAAACTTTAGGATGTTGAAAAATACAGTACTGTTTCATAATCCATTCTATTATCTTAGTATATACATAAAGGCATGAGGTTAGGAATGCTCCTTTCATGAGAAATTATGCTAAAGCTTTAAAGAAAGAAGTATTTCTTAGGTGACTATGATCTAATTAATGCAACACGTAGAACCAGAGAAATCAGTGAGGACTATTTAAAAAATTTAAACTCTGAGAGCAGCCTCATTATATTTGCCTTTTATCTCTCATAAGATTTGGGTCTAAATCCAGCAAATCACATTGGTTATGAATGTAGGTCAAGACAGGGACGCTTCTCTATTTACTCTTTGTGAGACTGGATAGAAATCAATCTGTTACTTTCATTACAACCACACAATCAATTCCATTTAAAGCATAATACAACAGCCAAGTCCAAGGACAATATGGATCCTTGGGAAAAGCTCATACCATTTGCAGGGCTGTACTTCATACAGCTTCCAATAAATTATTTTCTTTCTAATTAGTGCACACAGTCACTTCAAGAAAACATGCCTAAAGTAACATAAAATATCAGATCTAACAAAAACTTGATTTAGCATTGAATTCTCACTAAAAAAAGAATCATGCCTTTTAAACAATAAAAACCTATGAAGGAATTTTTCTTTCTGTATTCACTATAACATGAGGAGAATATGATTTTACATTCATTAAAATTTATCAAAGGAATGTTGACACATACCAAAAATTCTACCTTAAAATTAGCAAAGGAAATCTTATTGCAAATGCCACTTCATATCACCTATCCAAAAATGAATTTATTCTGATTAATCAGTTCTTGCCTCAAAATTATGAATATCGTTGCTTCTGTGAGCTTTATGTGTAAATCATTTCAGCAAACAAAGGGAATACATCCCATGGCGCCTTTCATTTACACATAACAGCAGCAGCATCTCCAATTATTCTTCAATATCAAAAATAGCATCATCTTCACATGTAACTTATTTGAAAGCACAGGAAAAACCATGATACACCAACACTAATAATAGCTGAATAAATTTAAAACCCTTTTGCTATTTTTTTCAGATTTGTGAAGGAGGTATAACTGACAAAATCTATAACTAACAAATAATGTATATGTAAAAATCACTTTATATATGTATAGAGAAGTATAATCACTCTGTATACCACATATATGGCATATGTTATAGATATATGTATATCTATAACATATATGGAATGTTATATGTGTATATATGTTATGTATATATGTATAACACATGTATTCCATATATATGGTATACTAAGTGATGTTTTAATACTGGAATACATTACTCAGTGACTAAATAAAGCTAATTAATATATTCATTACCCAGTGTACTTATCATTTCCTATGGTAACAACATTCAACATCCAGCTCCTCAGCAGTTTTCAAGCCTATAAAACCTTATGATTAACTAGAGTTACCATGCATTAAGACAATGTCCATGAGCATGTTCATCCTGATACTGTTTCCCTTGGACCAGCTTCCCCCATCATCCCACACCTTTATTTTATAAGTGAAGATATTTTCTTATTTTCACATCAGTTATTTCAATTGCCATTACATGTTAAGTTTTCTCTAACATGTTGCAAATATGTTCAAGACAATTAAAACTGAAAGCTCTCCCAGATTCAATATCAAAAATATATTTGTTATTTAACACGCAGTCCATCCCTTCCATAAAGAGGGATGATACACTTGTAGATCAATTCTCTTTGATTTTTCCATGGAAAAGACTCTCCTGAAAATTGAGAGTTTGGTGAGTTATCTGTGCAACAAAATATAGTTCTTAATGTAAAAGGCTATCATTTGTTCAAAATATCTTGAGGCTACTATTAGTCACTCATCATAAATGACTTTGCTCTAACTATTGTTAAGGAAATCCTCTCTCTTATGAAAACTTGATTGAGTTTTTTAAGCATTGCATGTAAGTAAGATATATTCTGAGAAGTTATTCCCACATACTCTTTGACACTCTAAATGTTTATGACTAAAAGTGTGTCTTTTGACTCTTTGTTTCTTGTGTATGTG